CGCAGCCTCAAGGCCAGTGTGGAGCGGTGCAGTGCATTGGTACTGCGCGACCACGAATTGATTTCTGCATGAAGTGCCTCATTGCTCGAAGTTCCGCTCGGCAGAAAAGTAAGATATGCTCTCTTCATGCGATGTCTTGACCGGACATAGTTCGTGAGCCACTCAAGTCGATCCGGAGCACAGGCAGGCCATAGCATCTTGTGAATAAGCTTGTTGGGTCCAGCCGCGTTCCGTTTTTGAACTTCTACAACTAGGGCTCAGGCAGCCGCGGCCTGCGGCAAGCCCAAATTCCGGGCCTGAAACTGTGGCCGTCAACACAGCACAACCCACGCCTACTTTGATCCGCATGTTCATCGCTCCTGCACCACTTGAGTCAGCGCTTCGCACGAACTCTGGCACCTTCTCTAGAACCTGGTACGGCTACCATATGCGCAAACAGCGTTTGCAGCACGGCTGGTGACTCCCTCACACCGCCTTCCGTAATCTTCCAGGCCTCCGATGTGCGAAAAAAAGTTGTCGTGGAACTGGCCACAAACCTCCTTCTAAGCGCGTATTATCCTCTTTCAACTTTCAACACGCTCTTGATACTCACATCCTGCCGGATGGTTATTTTGCAAGAGAACCTTTTACTTCAATCCGACACTCCTGAAACATCCAGATCTTCCACAGCCTTTACCAAACTGGGCTTTCCATCCTCACCACTCCTTCCGTCTGCCCCTTCCAATTTTGGCCAACAGTTGAGAAACAACTTTTGCGGGGGGATAGGATGCCAACTCACATGACTTTTATTCGCATCGAAGAACATTGCAATCTGCAGGCTGAAACAGCTTGCCACATGATCTCCCCCCAACGGCTCCTCCAACTCCATGCTTGTGAAACGAGAACTCCGCGCTCTGAGCACCCAACTTTTTGCACTCTGCTTGAAATCCGAGCATTGCACAAAATACGAATTCACTGTGGCAGATGTTTCGCCGAATCTCACAACTACACGGCTGCCAGGATTTCTTAGCCAATCGTGGTCTTCCAACCACTGCAAGCAAATTGGCAGTAGAATAATTAATTGACACGACCACAGGGATGCGAAACAGATCGAGCCTGTAGGCCCGTAGGCACAAGTGCCCCTTGCGGTTGAGCCGAACTCCACAAGGGGCAATCGTATTTGCCTTTCAGTTTCTCTTGGTGATCAACAATAAATTGCAGATCATGCACGTCATCTAGCACCAGGCCGTCTGTGACGCCGTGCTTGAACTCCCGCCGTTTGTCTGGGAAGAAAGTGACTGCCAATCTTGAACTCCAACGAGCTGGCAAATAAGCTTTTCGCCCATTTTGTTTTACCGGCACGCGAAGGGCCAAGCACGATCAAGATCGGATAACGCAACGCATCGCAGTCGAACTGGCGAAGCCATTCAATGGCAGCCTGCACCTTTGGAAACCGCTTGATACGTGCAGCAATGTCCTCTTCTGCCTGGCGCTTAGCATCATGTTCTCGACACGCCTGGAGATTGCGAGCACGAGCCAGAACACCATCCCGGCAGAGGTAAAGACATCGCTCATAAACATCGGCAGTGATTTTGTATTGCTTGTAAAGAGTCTCGGCCCATTTACCTAGAACCTGATAATTCATGGTCGAAGTGGTCCAGCAGTGAGCATCTCGCCGTCGCTGTTGGAGACAGCGCCAATTTTATCGGCGAAGCAATAGAAAAACCAGCGGTTCACAGACTCTTGCCAGCGTTTACCATTTTTGCCTTCGCCACAGATATCCGTGCAAGATGCATTAGGGGATACGTCGCGAAATCCACAAAATGCTGCACCCAGCGCTTGTCATCTGCCTTCTTAAACTGCAGCATGAGATGGATGTGGATGTTCCCTGCCTTGCATCTTTCCATTGTGCAGCACCAGTACTTGCCTCGCCATTCCTCAAATGAGGATTCAACGAACTTGAGGAACGTCCCCCACTGAGAAAGACCAAGTCCCATACAAGTCAGAAGCACGGCAGCAGATCGAATCCTGTACTCTTTCTGCTGCCGGATGGCAAGAGCACTTTGCCCTTCAGGTGCAGACGCCTTTGCCTTTGCATCTTGCCACTTCTGACGGGAAGCTTGTAACTTGGTGAAGTCTTTATGATGGCCACCCTTGTCCGGGGGAGCTCACCTGCTCGCAGGCCGTATTGCTGACACAAGTACAGAAGCACTGCGACGAAAGCACGCTTTGCTTCCTGGACCACACGGCCCGGCATGCCGACTAAAGGACAAACTACAGCAAAACAACAGGGACAAGTCCAAGCCAAATGCTGCCGTACGTTTTCAGCAAAGAAGGCTTTCAGAATGGCTTGCACAGTTTACAAGTTACAAGCGTGTCGACATACCTTCCATAAGCATGTTGACTCGCCCAAGTTTGCACAGGTTCTCAGAGTCTTGGAGAGCACTCCCTGCCAACCCTCCGGGGCGTCCCGTTTCAGCTATATAATACTAGTTTGAGACGGGAAGTCTGGGACTCCACGCCTTGCACCATGGAGTCTATCGCTCGCTAGGAGTCTAGTGGGTGCGGGGTGGCGCGGAGCTTGTATTGCACTTCTGCAGGTCAAAAACGTGATCTAGTGCTTGTCTTTTAACACCATGGCTGTAGAAACGGTCAATGAACTAGGGCTTTTGCGTCTGATTCGAATAGCAACGGTTGTAGAAACAACAACTATACGCGAACGTCCATTATTCCCGCTTGTTCTGCGGCCTGTCCGGGGCCATTGGCCATCGAACAACCATCATTCGCGTGTAGCAGAAAAGTATAGAAACAACAAGTAGACTCAGTAGACGCCAACGTTCATTGTTTCCGCTTGTGCTGTGGCCTGTCCGGCACGATTTTGGGGCCGTCACACGGCATTTTTGGTCGGTTCGTCATAGCAGCGGCTATAGAATCAACAAGTACGCGCGAACGATCATGGTTTCCGCTTGGTGTGAGGCTATTCTGGAACGATTTTGGGCCATCGCACGACTATCTAAAATGTTTTTCGTGCATTTTGGGCTGTTGCATCCTTTCGTACTAGCAGCGGCTATGGTAGGGGCGAGCGATCATGGTTTCCGCTTGGCACGTGGCTATTCTGGAACGATTTTGGGCCGTCACACAACTCTACAAAATGGTCTACCTGCAAATTGGGCTTTTGCGTCTGTTCGTCATAGCAGCGGACATAGAAACAACACATAGGCGCGAACGATCATGGTTTCCGCTTGGCACGTGGCTATTCTGGAACGATTTTGGGCCGTCGCACGACTATCAAAAATGGCTTTGCTGCATTTTGGGCTTTTGCGTCAGTTCGTCATAGCAGCGGCCATAGAAACAACACGTAGGCGCGAACGATCATGGTTTCCGCTTGGCGTGTGGCGATTATGGAACGATTTTGGGCCGCGGCACGACTATCAAAAATGGTTTTCCTGCATTTTGGGCTTTTGCGTCTGTTCGTCATAGCAGCGGCCATAGAAACAACACGTAGACGCGAACGATCATGGTTTCCGCTTGGCGTGCGGCTATTCTGGAACAGTTTTGGGCCGTCGCACGACTGTCAAAAATGGTTCTCGTGCATTTTGAGCTTTTGCGTCTGTTCGTCCTAGATCTGCTATAGAAACGGCAGGAACAGTAGTAGCAGGGACTCTGGAAACGACAAGTAGTGACTGACAGTAGGCACGAGCAGTGCATGTGCACACGATCTCACTCTCAGCATCGCCGTGAAAGCATGTCCCAGGTCACAACCAATCCGTGCCCAGAATGGCAGCAGAAGCTATCAGATGCATCACGCTCACCCTCACTGCGAAAGCATCCCCAGGTCACAACCGATCCGCTTTCAGAATGGCAGCAAAAAACTATCATGTGTTTGGATCTGTTGCACATGTTTTCGTGGTTCGAACTGCTGTCGGCGAGCCAGAAGCCGCAAGGGCGTAAACTAATCACACTCTTTAGCTGATGCGGCACTGCACTGCTGACCCTAAGAACGGCAACAAAAGCGAGGCTTGGATCTGCACTGCACCCCACCACCACCAGCTCACGAAAAGCTTCAAGTTACGACGGATCCGTGGCCAAGTTAATCCATCACAGCAACCAGACACATTCTTCCGCTGATGCAGCACCAGCGGCGTTAGCAGCACACAGCACGCGACAACCATTGGCAAGAATGGCAGCAAAAGCGAAGCTTGGAGCTGCACTTCACCATCACGAGTGCACGAATATCCTGAGAGTACGACGGATCCGTCGCCAAGATTGCCCGACTAAGTAACCCGAGACATTCTTCAGCTGAGTCGGTCTGGCACTGCAAACTGCACTGCACTACTGTCTTTCCTAGCAGCGCGCTGCACTGCTGTCTCTACCAGAAGTTCTGCAGCATACAGCGAGCGCAGGCAGCATACAGCGAGCGCCAACAAAACTTGGATCTGCACAGTCTTCAGCTGATCTTGCACAGCTTTCTGCTACCTAAAGAAATCAAGACGACAACTCTTCAGTCGATATGGTTCACGCATGCATATGGACTGGTGCTGAAAGTCAACACGCTGTACGTGCTTGTGGGTGGTTTCGAAAGTCAACACTCGGTACGCGCATGTTTGGGTGTTTTGAAAATGAAAGCTCACTGAGTAGGCACTGCTGCCTATACCACATCACGACACAGCTATAGGCAATAATGGCCGCAAAAACACGGCCAGCACAGTCTTCAACCTGATCAAAACAATCTCAGGTCACGACGGATCCGTTGGGCGCAGTGCAAGTATCACTCCATGTGACGAAAAAGCCAGCGGCAAGAATGGCAACAAAAGCACGGAAAGGGGCTTGGATCTGCAGCTACTGTTTGTGCCGTGGTTTTCAAGATGCTGTGCAGGTCGGCCTGCAGACTTGACATACTCCGATCTACATGACTTCCAGACACGGTCCACTTCTTGAATTACCCAGCTACGCTGTCATGCCCCACTTGCACATTAAAACTACCCGGGAACTATCCTGGTCCACTTCTTAAAGTCTTAAAACTACCCAGCCACCACGTCAGACGTCCTCCTCCTGCCCGTTGCCAGCTGCTGACCCGTCACGGTCACGGTCACGATCGCCCTGTCCGCCCCCATTACGATCGCCCCCTGGGCGGTCTTGCCCATGTCCGTTGTCGCCAGCACGGCCCCCTTCACCCGCACCGCCCTCACCACGCTGGCGTCGCAGCAGCCACACCAGGTCGGTTTCGCTTAGGTTGCTTGCCTTTTTAAGGAGTCGTCGTCTTTTGCGAGCCTGATGGCCCGAGGCCGGCGAGCCCGCCTTCATGGAAGACTTAAAAGATATGCCAGACGCAACCCGGACAGACAAAACAAGACAACAAAATAAGCGCAAATAGCCTTGCCTCGTTTCGGAACGACTTTGTCGCCAACTTCAGAGCACTCTTGAGGGCCTCTCGCTGAGCCTTCAGGTTGTTCAGTGGGTCGTCCATGAGCACAGACAGCCGCACACGCACGGGAAGGGGGGCTTGCAGAGCTACAGCAGTTTGCTGAGCCAAGACACCAAAATCCAGTGTGCCAGTGGCTGCCAGTGGCTCTGAAGGACAATGCTGACACTTCAGCTTCTGGGCCGGAATCTGGGACCCAAAAACCTATCCATTTCAGACCACTCGAGCACGTTCCCTAACAGTAATTGATGTCGCTGACATAGGGCCGCGATACATTTGATGAATGTCAGCCTGTCATAAAATGGAATGTCCAATCTGAGTCCGTCTAGCTGGGATGCAGCTTCATGCTGAATCATCGGGAAGTTCAGTATCATCTCTCGATATCGTGTTTCTTCGCAGTTGAGAGGCCTAGGCGTGGTGCCATCGTAATAGGTACTCCAATGACCAACATCGGTGTCTGGATCATTGGCGACACACTTGTTCAAAATACGACGCAACTGCTTGGAGCCCGAGCTTTTCTTGTTCCAGAAGCCGTACTCATACACGATGGCTACGTGAACTGGGTCCAACATGAGACTTTCTAGCTTCGGACATATTGCTTTCATCTGAGTATATAATTTCTCCGAAGGACCGTCTGTGGCTACATGACAAATCATACCAAGCTGGTCAGCGCTGAAGGTCTCTGTAAAAGCCTCTGCCAGCTGCTCTGAGGACTCATTCTGAAGAGGACGCAGAAGCAAGACTGCCCCAGGCCCAGATCGGCCCCGGACAGTTAGTATTCGGCGCCATGCCGTGTTGTCGCCGTCGCCGAAGGGTGCAGCATCACGAACGGTCTTCGGAGCTGTGTATGTTTCTTGACCAAGGAGCTTGAGACATACCTTGACTGTACCATCCATGCTGACGTTATGCCACTCAAAGGATCTGGTCATCTCTTACTTTTCCGCGAAATGCGTCTGATGCGGAGATGTCCTCCAGGATAGGCAACCAGTGACGGACGTCTCTCGGAAGAAGAGCGGATATCCGGTTGCCATGCTCGAGCGCAGCCATAAGGCAGCGGGTCGCCATGGTAAACACCTGTTACGCGAGCCGTCATACACATACTATACTTACTTGGAATGTGTATTCTAGTGCTTCATTTTGCACGATGTATAAAGACTTATGTCTTGACACATCCGAGTGGCTTGGTTGTGATTCAGAACGGCTTCCCGAACCAGCAGGTCAGTGAGTGAATGCCTGTAGTAGAGATATCGCACCCTTCTGACATCCAGCCCATTTCCGATGATATGGGCATTCACATATCGAGGGCCTGCAACGTCTAGGACCAGCCGTATGTGTTTGTCGACATGGTTGCAGTTGTTCTTCAACGGTGGTTGTACTGTATCACCCAGTAAAGCAGCACTATGTTGCCGAAGATCAGAGGCCGCTACTTGCGAGGATGCAGAATGGTCAAACACAGCCAATATCACTTTGACTTGTTTCGTTTCGTCCCAGAACGCACATACTGATTCTCCACCGCGTGATGCTTTTCGATGTGTGTTTGCAGCTGGCGAAGTTGTGCAAAGGACCTGGAAGGACACATGGGACAGAGTCTACGTCCATCAACTCGAATTGATTTAGTCCTCAACTCTTCAGAGACTGTTTTGACCTCTTCACTCAGTAAAGTCTTTATACCATCAGATATGACAGGACTGTCATCCTCATCCAATGTAAACTTGGGCTTCACATCGTCGGAGTCCCGCTCATCTGAACCGTCAGAGTCAGCGCCTGCGGCCATGTCGAGCAAGAGTGCCGCTTTTTCATCTGGCTTGTCTCTTGCTTCCCGTTTCCAGTAGGACACGATGGTAGAATGATCCACTGCAGCGTCATGGATCTCGCTGAGCAACAACATCGACATCTTGTAAACTGTGGCACCATCGAATAGTGTGGCGTGAGAGCCGGATGCGTCAAGTCGCACGGCGACGCAGTGTGGACTTCCGTTACCTTCGTAATGAGTCATGTACGACTTCACATGATTGTCCAGCAGGCCGAAACAGCATGTAAGATCGATGGAACACATCGAGGCCATCGAGCGGTAGTCTCTGTACTTCAGCTTCAGAGCCTCTGCGCTGGTCAGTGATCCGCCAGACAAAACAGCTACAGTGGTCGGTCTGGAGAGCGGTACCACGTGCCAAAGAGCGCACGGAATGCAATTTCCCTCTTCCAGTAGAGGCGGAGGAACGTTCGATAGGGCGTTGGCATGGCTGTCTCTGCTCTTCACCAGCTCGATGAAAGACATATGCTGCTTTACAGTGATGATTGCGCTGAAGCCAATCCGCTCCTGCACTGCTTTCTCGCACCCTTTGATATACTCTTGCACGTCTCCCACATGACTTGCCGATACTCGAACAACATCAAAACGCGGTGATACATGCTTTGGCTTTACAGGGCAAATTCAAGACGTGACTGACGGAAAGGTCTCCTGCTTGTTATCGCCAAAGGACATGTAATCTTGGTGTAGCAGATCCATCTGGTGTACTGAGAAAGTTTCTGCCAACCGAGCACAAGCTCGTGATTCTTCAAGTTTGCGGGAGGCGTTCCACCGCTTAATACAGTTGATGACATTCTTGCCTTGGACGACGTTGAGTCCCAGCCTTTTGATGAAGCCAGACCTGTTTTTGACAACATCATCCAATAGACTCATCAGATCATCCGGCAGTGACGGCTCCGGCTTGGTCTTTATGATGATTTGCTGTACCGAAGTAAGACAGCAGTTGTATATGTCCAGGTTGTATGTCCAGATCCACCGAGGGACCGCCCACAACATGACACTGAAGTCGACGGGACATGGATTGCGCTCCGCCCACAACTGTATATCCGTCCTGCTCAAGGAATACTCCTGCTTGTCCGAATAATGATAGGAAGCTGTTCGAGAGTGTGTCATAGAGTTCCAGCTGGATGCAGAAGACATGTCAGGATTGCCCGGATCCATCTCATGTTCCTCTACGGACTTCTTGCCTGTCAAACGTCTGTTCTGTGAACTCACCAACTTCTTTAGAGACTCCTCGTGACTTTTCAGCTTCCGGATAAGAGTCTCATACTTTGTCTTCGCTTCCTCTTGCTCGGCAGAGCAGCTCCCCTTTCTGGAGGGAGGAATGAGGGCTGTATTGACATTCATCATCTTCTCAGCGTTGAGGGAGCGACCGCGACTGCTGAATGCAAATTTCCTAGCCAGTCCCACGTCGTGCTCCTCTTCTAAATCTAGTCGGATGACTTCGAATTCAGGTTGCGGGCGTACATCAGTAAACGGCCGACCAAATGAGATCATGGGGATGAAGGCTCCTGGTTTCTCCTTACTGGTCTTTTGTCGGACGAGTCCACGGCGAACAACACCACGGTCTTTCAGTTGATCCCAGATGTCTTCTTTGGATAATTAGGATGCTGATCTTTTTTGAGGACTTTTTTTAAACTCGTAGAAGGTCATGACGTCGAGGTCATTATCCAACATGTGGCCGACGCTAAACTTTTGCAGATTCTTCCATTCATTGTCCTTCTCATCTCTTTCGTCTGCGCTATCTTGATCGCCTGCCAGAACATTTCCCAAGCCATCCGCGTCTTGCAACTGTCGCACCCGCACGGGTAGACCTCAGGCGTCCCACAGGTAGCCATCGCCTCCGTTACAGCGGTCTTCAATAAGCTGGTAACAATCCTCTTTGCTATGATCAGCCTCGAATGCCCATTGCAGTCTCACCCAGCAATGGACGCTTGGGAGGTGGCCAAGAACTTGCTCAAGCTGGGGTCGGCCTCGAAATTTCCATCCCTTTCATGATCTGGATATTTTGTCAGGAACTTGGGGTGCACGAAACGAGCTTTTGCTTTCCATACAAAAGATCGTCTGAAGAGGGAGTGAAAGTTTTGGTTCGTCAACACCCAAAAAAGCCATGATTCGATTTACTTCCAATCGAGTCCAACCAATCGTCTGGAACATACGAGTCTTGTACCCGTAGGGTTTCCTGCCCATGATGCCATCGCCTGATAATATCGTCTTCTTGTAGAAATCGATGCGCATCTTCTTATTGGTTTCAGGAGCTTCTTGACTTGTCAGGATGAAGCACTTCGCGAAAGACTCCACCTGCTTACGCAGTTCTTCGTCGAGATGCCAGGTGTTCGGATCGAAGAAGCTATGATTGTGTTTGTACATCTCGGACAGATGGAGGGAGTACAAACTTTGGCCGACCCCACCTGGTGATACCCCAATGCAGCAACGATGCCCCCCAAGAGCGAAAGGAACGCGATTTCAATTATTGCAAATTTCTCAATTATTGAAATGGGGGGGGTGGGCTGGGGCTAAGCGAAGTTATCAAGGATTTCAGTTATTTCAATTAATTCGGGACCCGAATGATTGAAATAATTGAGATCCCGTTCCTGTCGGTCACCCCCCCCATACCAAAAAAAAGACATAATTGAAATCTGGCCTATTTCAATTATATCGGGTCCCAAATAACTGAAATAAACAAAATCGGCCGCATTTCAACTGTTCTTCAATTATTGCAATGGGGGCGGTGGGCTGGGGTTAAGCAAAGTTAGCAAGGATTTCGATTATTTCGGGACCCAAATAATTGAAAATAATTAAAATCAATTACAATGCGCTTATTTGTGTGTATTTTCACTATTTCAACAATTTCAATTCTACCTACTTATAATATTCAAAAAGATGCGTCAAACAAACCCTAAAGGCTTCTCTCTCTCTCTCTCTCTCTCTCTCTCTCTCTCATGTATATATGTATATATATATATATATATGTTCATGTATGAACGTATGCATGTGTGCATGTATGTATGTGTGTGTATGCATGCATTTATGCCTATGCGTATGTGTATGTAACAGTATATGTGTTGTGTATACGTGTAGGTGTAGGTATTGGTATGGGTATTCGTGGTGATGTTGCTATATGTATATGCATATGTATATGCAGATGAATATGTACATAATATATATGTATATATATATACATATAAAAAACAGATGTAAATAACTATGATCACTTATGGATAAGCATACATGCGCAATATGTTCTTATATGATATAATGTCATGAATGTAATGTACTATATATATATAAATATACATACCACATATACACATATACTGTCTTCCTTTGTATGCGTATGTGTAGGTGTAGGATTATTTGTATGTATATCTCAATGTCTACCAATATAGTACACTTACATACCAAGCGAGAATCAACATCTGCGTCGGTGCATTCAAGAATGTCTCGACGAAGCTACTTATCTTCGTCGGGGTTGCTCGTGAACGAATTCTTTTGCATGTGTGCATGTGCGCGCGTATGTGCGTATGTTCACGTGAGGCTTTCGGCCAATGAACCCTGTAACGACTTCATATGACACAGATGCATACATACGTAAGTACGTACATAGATACACACACACACACACATCTACCTACCTACCCACCTACCTGCCTGCCTGTACGCACGCACGCCTTGTGCTTACATGCGTTGCATACACTCTACAGGTATACATACCGGTGAAGAACATAAGTGCATGTTAAGATGCCTACAAGAGATACAGAAACCAATCAACCTGCCGACCCGCCTACTTACTTACTTACTTACTTACTTACTTGGCTAGTTAGCTATTCATCTGCATACGTATCTACATAGCTACTCACTGAGAACCCCAAAATCCCAAACAATGAACCACCTCAACCCCAGACCCCCTAAACCCGGACCAGTGGCCGTTCCACCGTCTTTCCGGAGTGCAGCGAAGGCCATGGCCGAGGCACAGATGTTACGGACATCTGTGAGCTCACCTTGGGTCTACGCACACTTCAGGGTGTTCAGGAAATTTAGGGCTTTTAGGGTCCAGGGTTGGTAGGATTTTTTTGCGATAATTAGTTCAGGCTGTGCGCCCTGAGGCTCACAGTCAATGCATGTTTGGCTTGGTTTGGGTCTGCTTCTACGTGGCTCCCCGATGCTTGGTGAGCTGTTGTACGATTTCGGGGTCGAAGTTGAAAACTGCTCTGTCGATGGCATGAACAATATTCCTATGCATGCAGATGCTTGCAAGCATGGTTTCCGTAGAGCTACGTTTGACGTTAACGGTTGGAAGTTAGAGCTTACATTGCTTCGGAGTTTGCCGCACCGAGCGTCACTGAGGTCAGAATCATAAACTCGTCTGATATAACTTCACGAAATTGGTGACGGAAAACTTGACAATCAACATGCACGCACACTCACGCATGCGCATACAGGCATATACACACACACACACACACACACAACCAACCAACACAGACACAGACACAGGCACAGGCACAGGCACAGACACACGCACACACACACACACACACAGACAGACACAGACAGACACACACACACACACAGACACACACACACACACACACACACGCACACACACACACACACACGCACACACACACACACACAGAGATAGAGAGACAGACAGACAGACAGACCGACAGACGGACAGACGGACAGACGGACGGACGGACAGACGGACAGACAGACGGACGGACGACACACAGACGGACAGACACACAGACATACAGACACACACACACAGACGGACACACACACACACACAGACAGACACACACACACACAGACACAGACACAGACACAGACACACACACACACACACAGACAAACACGCACACACACACAGACAAAGACACACACACACACACACAGACAAACACAGACAAACACACACAGAGACACAGAGACACAGAGACACACACACACACAGAGACACACACACACACGGAGACACACACACACACACATATGCAGAAAAGCAGCGTGCATGTCGACGTCTTTATGTGTCGAGATGTATCTAAGATGGGTGATGAGTGTCGTTTTGCAGTAGCTGCTTGAATCTCGCTTTGGGGGTCCTATACGAACTTTTCGGAACCCGAGAGCTTCTTGCTTGAGGGCCCCCAAAGAACCGCTCTTCAATCTAGGCGTCTACCGTGGATTAGATAGGGCTTCTCACATTATGTTGAGGAATCTGCCACAAAGTATACACTATATCGGCATTTTTGCCATGGTTGAAAAGCATATTGACTACTTCATTTGTCCCCTCTGGCCTTGAACGATGCTGCTGTCGCCGCCGGCATACCATGCACCCCAGGTTACCTGCGAGTTTCAGAATCAGGGAGCCCCCCCCATATGGATCCTCATCATAAGAATGATCTCTGTCTAGTAGCCCCAAGCCCGTCAACATGACTGCAGAGAGCACTTACGAAACCTATAAAGGAGCCCGAAAACGAAATCCTAACTGCAACCCTGTAATGAAATTCCGGAAGCCTAAACTTAGTCTAGCCAATCCCTAAACCCTGGTACTTGAAGGATCGTGGGACTTAGTAACTAGGGTTATAACTAGGGTAGCTATACTTATAACTACTTATAACCCCAATTAAGGTACTTATAACCTTACTTACTAAGTCCCATGATCCTCCAAGTAATGTAGGAACCTGATGGGTTCCTTATATGAATCTTACCTTTTTGGGGTTAGAGGCCCAGGGTTCCTCAATCAGGTTCCTACATTCTGCCTGTCGCTTCAAGCCCTAGCAACCAAAAGGTTCATGCCCCGTGGGGCTTCGGGTCCCTAGATGAACCGTGTTCTGAAAACCCCATGACACCTCTATCCCTTAAGCATACCACTACAGATGCTCTATAAGCGTTCTAGAAATCCAAAAAACCTGTATAAAACCCCGTTGAAGCCTGAAAGCACTCCATCATACAACCGCTCTACACCCATAAAGCAAGTCTTCTTGAACCTCTATGAAAGCCTTACATGGGAGTTTCCGAAAATAGGGGACACCAAAATAGTACCCTAAATAGTAGGATCCTTATAAAAAGGACACCAAAATAAGGCACCCCGAATTTTCGGAAACTCCCAGATAACCCCATAAGCCTTACTTCTTAGCCCGGGGGCGACGGAGCCATCAGAGCGGAGAGCCGCGAAAGCCGCGTGGTTGGCGAAGACTTCCTTCACGTCCTGTGCTTTCCAAACCGAGTACTGCAAGGACTTTCTATAAGAAGCTTCGATATAAGGTTTAGGGTTTAGGGGATTTAAGGGTTTCTCCCCGAATCCTTCAGCCTCCCCACCCTAGACTTGGATCCGCGGTGTTTGACCGGGATCTTTGCAAGATTTTCGGGCGCAAGTGGGATTTCACAAGCTGTGTTTAGGAGTTAAGGATTTCAGGGCTCAGCAAACTGGGTTGACGGTCTCGGGCTTGGGTATACAAACCCACACCCGATACGATGCTATAGTTCCCTGTGGTAACTTAACTTAACTTCCATCAGGCTCCTCAAAGGGACCTTCAAGAGCCCAAACAAGTAGAAGCCCATTCCTTGGTAAATCCAGGCAAGATCTCACAAGCAAGTTAAAGCCGTGGTCTGGGTTTGGTGTTTTGTTCAGGGCTTGATCATGGCAGGCGTACCATCGTGAATCTGCTGTATCATAGGCCTAGGATGCCCAGTAACCTAGGAATAAAAAGGGCTCACTTGTTGGTATTGGGTAACTTCATAAGGAACCTAGGACTACAAAAAGGGAATGAGGGTACTACTGGGCATCCTATGCCGCCCCGTGCGGAGGCGGAGGACTCTGATTCAGTCTGGA